GGTGAATGGGATTATTATTACAGCCGGAAACCTGAAAATCAATGAACCTGTTTATCTTGTAATTTGGGTTCAATTGTCTCATATCAACTCCAAACGTGTCCCTGGAGATGCTATGTAACAGAACAAAAAGTATTTTTGGATCAGAAGGTTCTGTTCCTCCCAGATTACGGATCTGTCTGTGATCAGAACCATCAGAACGCATCATGGTCTCTCCTTTCCTCTGCAGGTTCAGGCTGTTTGTGGGGGAATCGGTTCCTGCTGCGCTGGTACAGGTTGTTCTGCAGGTTCTGGCTGAAACCCGACCCTGCAGGTCCGATCCGTCGGGTTAGCTTAGCATTCAGGTTTCCCTTCAGGCTCTTCCCACTCAGGAAATGTTTCCCTGAGAGCAGCTGAAAGGAAGCCTCCTCATGTTTCCACAGAGAGCTGCACAGGTGAGGCTCCGCCCCCTGCTGCGTCACCACGGTGACATCATGGGCCTCAGGGCACACTCTGGGTGTGTCGCACAGGAAGCGGCCGCCTGTCGAGGAACTTTGATCGCAGCAGCTGGGAGGAGAAGCCAAAGTTCAGGGACAGGCACGCCTGAGGACAGGTGACCCCATTCAGCCCGGCGCCGCAGACCCGAAGAGGCCTCAGCTCGGGTTCTGCAGACATCAGAACCTCCTCCTGATCCTTAGCTGGACCGTACAGAACCAGTATGATTTAACCAGTCAGAACCGGGCCTACGTGTGCAACAGTTCAACACCTGCAGGGACCAACCAGTTGGACCTGAGGGTGCTGACATCATTGCAGGCGGGGGTTCTGTTGTTCTGATCCAAATCTCCATGGAAACAGTAAAATATAATCAACGTATAAAAAAAAAAAAAAATTGGACCGTTCTGGGTTCGGTTCTGGATGAGTTCCGGCTGCTAGAAGCAAACTGCTCTTTCAGCTGCGACCCAAACGTTCCAGCAGAAAGGCAACACGAAGTCTGAAGCAGAACCAGAACCGACTGCCTGAGCAGAACCGGGCCCCAGAGGAAGGAGACTGATCAGAGGGAGAACTGGAGTCCGATCCGATAGAGGAAGGCAGTAAAACGTCCAAATAATGACAGGACCCAGAGATGTTCTGTTCTCTTCTTTAAAAGCATAAAAAGGATCACTTCCTGTCAATAAATGGTCACTTCCTGTCAATAAATGGTCACTTCCTGTCAATAAATGGTCACTTCCTGTCTGCAACACCAACAGCTGACTGAACCACAAACACTGGACAGATCCAGTCTGGACCTTTTATCTCAGAACTACAGGAGCCCCCGGGTCCAGGTCCTGGTTCTGATCCAGGTCCAAACCCGGCATGAAGCTCTCAGGTTAAAATCCAGACATGAAGACAAAGAACCAAGACGTTCTGGGTCAGTCTGCAGAACCTGAGAGCTGCTGATGAGGTTCTGAGTTCGGTTCCTCCTGAGAGGAAACCAGAAGCTGAGATGGATCCATTTCTACAGAAAACAACAGAGCCTGAAAACGACCCGGGTCAGAACCAAACAGAACCGTACGCGCGCTCGCGCTCTGGAGGCCTCTGATTGGCCGCAGCCCCGGTCTGCCTTTCCTGGACGCGGCAGCTGAGGCACTGAAGGATCCGATGTTCTGAAAGTTCTGATCCCTGCAGCTAAAACTGAAAAAATAAAGTTTGGATTTCTGCCTGAAGGTCATTCGGCTGATTTCCTGTCCTGATTCGGACCCGGTCCGTCTGAGGGCGGATCAGGCGCCGAGCTGAGGAGATGAACCTCCATCTTCTCTGATCTCATTACTGATGGCCTCCACATTAATCCACGCCTTATCAGATCCGAACCGGACGAGCATCAGAGAGCCCGCTGCCCAGACGCCGGGCGGAGCAGATGGAGCAGCAGAACCCCGGATTATCCGGGGGTCTGGGGGGCGAGGATTAGGGAGACAAACCGCCGTCTGAAGCAGCATCCAATCAGGATGAGGCTCAGTAACTGATCTGAGATCAGAATGAGCCTCCATCATAATCACTGAGCAAACAATGAGCTTCATAACCAGTAAAATCATCTGAGGGAAGCTGCAGCTCCTGCTAAAGACGTTTAAAGGTTTCAGCCAATCAATCAACTCCAACTTCTGTCCTGATGAACGTTAGGAAGAGAAATAAAACGTCCCAGAAGTTAAAAAACGATCTGAGATCAGAATCAAAGCCTTCAGGAATAGAATCCTCCTCTGATTTCCTCCTGGTTAAAAAACAAACAGCGTCTCAGTTTATTTCCATACGAATGACATGAGGTCAGCAGAGTAATAAATGAGTTCCTGTAGAAATCAGAGTTTCCAGCTGCAGGTTCAGTCCTGACTCACAACCATGTGATGAATCATCATCATTCGCATCGTTTCTGCAGAACCAGACGGATCCTCCAGCATCAGGATGGTCGTTTCTGCTCCCACACACAGAATCAACCAGTTATCAGCAGCTGACTCTCAGCCTCATTCAAAACTCCATCCAGAAATAGCTGAATTTTAACTGAAGCGGACACAGGTTCTGTCTGAAGAGGTCAGCTGTGTCAGACCAAAGTCAGACGAACCTCTGAGACCCTCGCCTTTAATTCGTCCACCATGTTGACCTCCCATCTCAGCAGTTTTTAGTTTTAACGCTTCTATCTGCATTGTCTTTAAAACTTTTTAATAAATCCAGCATCTAAACTAATATGTAAAACTCAGTTTCCATGTATGGTTAATGGAAATATTCCTTATATGTTTACATTAATTATGTTTTTGATTAATATCCTTTTGCTAAAATGACATCAGAACGCTGATAATATTAAGTG